CCCCAAAACCCCAAAACCCCAAAACCCCTTAGAATATTTGCTATAATGAAACTATAAGAAAAGAATAGACTTAAAATGGAAGATACCAAAAACATTAAGCACAAGAGGAAGCCTCCTAAGACAAATAAGGAGAGATCAAAACAGCACAGGATCAGGAAGAAGAAGTTTATCGAAGAAATGGAGCAAGAATGTAAACTTCTCAGAGAAAGAGTCAGGAGTTTAGAGAAGGAGAACCACCAACTTAAAGAGCAACTTGCAAATCTGTCCTTGACTGGAGGTTTATCTTCAACAAAAAAGTTTGAACATTCTTTGCATCAGTATGAAGACTATGTGTACAATAACTTAGGAAAGAAGATTCTTGATGATCCAGCTCAGGTTAGATACAGCACTCTCGAGCATGCAGTTGAACATATCCAAGAGTGGAGGTGGGCCAGCAAAATAATCTTTAGTGATGATAGAATCGACTATATCAAGACTTTATTCAACAGTAATGTTGGTCCCTCATGTTTAGAAATCTTAGACAACATGGTCTCACATGGCGCAAAGTGATTCTTCCTGTGAAATCGTATGTTTACCATCAAATAAATGGAATGGAGCTAATGGATCAAAGAAGAGAGGGAAGAAATATTTTGAAAAAGCTGCAGATACTGATATCATTAAAGAAGCATTCACAGACCTGTCCTTCACTCCTCAAGCATCTGAAATATTCAGCTCCATCAGTAAGCCAATGACCTATAACCACAAGCACTTCAGCAAGATGTAACTCTCTTCTCACACATAGAGCCCAAAACCTCATAAAACAGCGTAACAAACTTCTTAATCTCTACTACGGCATGAAGACCTACGCTTCAACAACAGATCGTGCTGACTGGTACCAAAAAGTCGACGTGTGCAATAACTTTAAGTTAGTTCACAAGGTTGAAAACACTGGGCTTGTAACGAACCACAAAGTTTATGATATCCCAAAGAAGGAGCACAAAGAGGAAAAGTATCAAGATGGAGAGCTTACTGAATAACTAACTTTACTGTTTCAATCATCTTGAGATCTCTGGGGTTTTGGGGTTTTGGGGTTTTGGGGTTTTGGGG